GTTGTCCTTGAATGTCGTCTTCTTCTTCTTCTTCTTCTTCTTCTTCTTCCTCCTCCTCCTCCTCCTCCTCCTCCTCCTCCTTGGCAATCACTCGTAGCCGAGTAAGATTTCAAATATCAACCGCAGATCAGTAGGGGGAGTCCTACTCGCCTTCATTCTTCTTCTTCTTTGGCCATCACTCGTAGCCGAGTAAGATTGTCTTCCATAAACACGGTTTTAACAGTGAGTCCGTAAGTGACTGTGGAGGCCAATTCTGGATCCACACATCCTTCCACAGCGGGGACATAGGTTTCGGGGTGGGAGTTGATCACGGTGTGGATTTGCCAAGTGTGCCATCCTCCTAGCACGTTTCTCCCTTGCATCCTGAGTTTGAGTGTCTTCAAAGCCCACAACACCTTTGGTAAAGGCTGTTCTCCAAATGGAGCGCTCGCATCTAAGCGTTTCCCAGTTGTCAGTGTTTTTTTTAAAGATTTGCCTTGAGAGAATCTTTAAACCTCTTTTGTTGACCACCAGCATTACACTTTCCATTTTTAAGTTCGGAATAGAGTAGTTGCTTTGGAAGACGATCATCAGGCATCCGCACAACATGACCAGTCCAACGTAGTTGATGTTGATGAGCATATGACTTTAATTCACCCTGTGAAAAAAATGAAGGCATGAGGGTCCATTCTCCACTCTCCCCCATCCTTGAAACTGAAGACCTCCCTGGTGAATTCAGATACAGTAGCCCAGGCCTTGTGTGATGCTCCCCATTCATTAACAAAGGGGGTGACCCATAGACTGTTTGCTTTCCCCCTCTTTGAAGCAACTTTCTTCTCTATCTCACCAGCATAAACCATAGTTTTGTGTTAACACGTGCACCAGTGAAGCAGGGAGGGAATCATTGGTTTAAAGTAAACTTGCAAGTTGCAATTTCTAGGGAACCTGCTTTGCATTAGTAACTATGGTTTGTTCTGGGTATATATGCAAAGTGATACCGTTGTTAATACTGGGAAGTTAAAAAGGAGAGTTGCTCCAGGGAAGGGAGAGTATGGGAGGCTGTGTAGATGGGCGCACAGCCCACTCCCCATCTTAAGAGGCAAGCCTATGAGATTGACAGTGTGACATCTGCATAGGACCCCTGTTGTCTGCTCATGTGCATTTTCTTATGGGTGTATGCTTTCGCAAGGCAAACACAACGCTTCTTGGTCACAGTGCCTCCAGGCCATTGTCACGGCGTCCGCAGAATTAGTCAGTACCAATGCGCTTAGCATAAGATGTTGCTAATGTGTTCAGCTCCTTCTAGTAGATTGACAGGTCTCTGTCTTTATCCGTGCCAACTCGAAGCATAAGCACAAAGCAAGAACGAGATCTGATCATATGCTTTTAGTTCTGCTCTGCTGTTTCTTGAGCTCCAGTGTCTCGATGCCCGTGGATTTCACTGTAGCATTCATTGTGCATCATCTCTTATTACCAGCACAAGGTTTAAATCACATGTCCTGTAATGTTTATTAATGGGAGTCATTTGGTTGGACTATTTCTTCCATAGAAAGATCTTTGTGCTTGCCTAGGGCCAAATAGTTGGTGGACACCACTTTGGGTAGGAAGGAAGGAAGTTTTGGAGGTAGGAAGAATCTTTTCTCTTGTGCAATCCATCTGCAAGCGGAAGTATATTATCTCTCTGGTTTTCCAGGACATGTGATTCAGTCCAACGTAACATCTAAGAACATATCTCAATTTCAACGGAGAACGTTTCACTTGAAAAACAGCTCAGACCTTTCCCGCTGCTCCCCTGACAAAATAGCTCACATTTATTCTGACATTCCATGTTAAATTTTCATCCATTAAGTATGCAAGTTATCTTTTAAAAGCCCAGGTCATGGTGCTAAATGAGCAGATATCTTACTTAGAAGCTCCAGAACTGGCCAGAAGTCACCTTTCTTGGAAAGGGGAGTGAAAACTGAGCCACAGATGAGTGTTGAGTAGAAACCTGGAACTGAGAGGTTTTTATACCACCTTTTCTTCCAAGGAGAGCTCAAGGTGGGTTACGTCTTTTGCCCCCTCCCCATTTTATCCTCACAGCAACCCTGCGAGGGAGCATAGGCTGAGAGATAAGTGACTGGCCAAAGGGTGACCCAGTGATTTTCATAGCTGAGTGAGGAACCCTAGTCTCCCAGGTCCAACACTAACTGTTACACCACAGCGGCGCTATAATGCTAGACAGTACAGTTAGCATTGGAACTATGAGAGAAACGCCGTTTCACTTTTCAAGTATACACAGCCAGTCAGCTCACTGCTTGCATTTAATAACGTGCAAAGTTGACGTACATCTTTCTCTTACCTGAGCACTAACATTCCTTGGGAAAGACACTTGTAGGCTGACCCTGTTGCTGACATGGCGATTTAGCCTTATGTTACCCTTCATCCATCTGCTTCTCAGGGAGCAAAGTCTTTCTAGATGTGGGTAAGCAGCCTCAGGAGGGGGGGAGGGGTCATCTGAAGTTTGCAGCGCTGCTCATTAGCTTCATGAATTAATCCCAGCTAATTAGTGTCACTGCGTATGTGCGGGTAATACAGAGTATAAAATGCATCTAGCGATACACGGACGCACTTGCTGAATCGCTGAACTGCTGCACCTCTCAAAATGCTTGACTAGCCAATCTTGTATTGCTTCCAGAAGTAACTGGGTTTGATTAGCCCCAGAATAAGGGTTCCTCTGCAATCTTGGGCCACATCCGCACACCATACATTTGAAGCACTATTATGCCGCTTTTAACAGATTCAGGTCGGTAGCCATGTTGGTCTGTTGTAGTCATAATAAATAACAAGATGAAAGATTTTTGAAAAAAATTATTAAGAGATGATCCAAAAAGAACTCCCTTAAGAGAATCAAGTCTTTTTGTCTTAAGACAGTCTTAATAATTAATTACAGTGGTACCTCGGGTTACATACGCTTCAGGTTACATACCCTTCAGGTTACAGACTCCGCTAACCCAGAAATAGTGCTTCAGGTTGAGAACAGAAATTGTGCTCTGGCGGTGCGGCGGCAGCAGGAAGCCCCATTAGCTAAAGTGGTCTTCAGGTTAAGAACAGTTTCAGGTTAAGAACCGACCTCTGGAACGAAGTAAGTACTTAACCAGAGGTACCACTGTAAATGGATAAATGTCCAAAGGATAAATGGACATAAATCTGACATCAGGATTCATCTTGTTATTTACAGTGGTGCCTCGCAAGACAAAATTAATCCGTTCTGCGAGTGTCTTCGTCTAGCGGTTTTTTCGTCTTGCGAAGCAACCCTATTAGCGGCTTAGCGGATTAGCGCTATTAGCGGTTTAGCGGCTATTAAAGGCTTATCGGTTTAGCGGCTTAGCTGCTAAAAGGCTATTAGCGGCTTAGCGGCTTAGAAAAAGGGGGGGGAAGCGAAAAAAAATCTCAAGACTCGCAAGACATTTTCTTCTTGCGAAGCAAGCCCATAGGGAAATTCGTCCTGCGAAGCAACTCAAAAACGGAAAACCCTTTCGTCTAGCGGGTTTTCCGTCTTGCGAGGCATTCGTCTTGCGGGGCACCACTGTATTATGACTGCTTTTAATAGTTCTCCCAAACAGTCCTGGGAACTGCAGTTTAAGGAAGCTGGGCGTTATTGGGGGACCCCCTGTTCCCTTCACGAAGCCACTCTGGGAATGACAATAATAATTTCTGCAACATTCAGCATCTTGATGGGATAAATGTAGTGTCCTGAAAATTAGATACTTAGCTAAACTAAGGCCTTCTCTAGACTGATAAATGATAATTCCTAACCTAGTGCTGTAGCAGCTGGGGCTCAATGTGCTTCCCTTTTTTAAATAAGAGCCATTTCCCTTCCCATATATTCAGAAGCATCTGTTATGTCAGCGTTTTGTCTCTCTTTCAGTAAATTCTAATTAGAATTTGGATTGGAAAACTATGCTTTGTCATGGTTTCTGATCTTGCTGCATCGTAGTCGTACAAAAGTTTGAATTGCTCATGGAGGTCCCAGCTTCATATTTTGGAAATTTCATTGGTTTGCTGTTAGTTAAACTATATCCTCTTAACTCTAAGGATTTCAAGGAAATATTGAGACTATGACTCAAATTTGGCAAGACCAAAAGCAAACTGGAAGGCGTCAATAAGAAAGGAAATCTGATGTATTCATGACTTGCAGGCTATGCTTGTAAGGTTGCTTTCAAGCTGGAAAACTTGTGTTTATTTTTGGTGTTTTTCCTTCAGACCACATCAAATCTCAGTGTTTCAGTGCTAACCTTTCTTGCTTGTCTCTGTGTCGGGATAAGAAAAAAGTGTTTTCCAAGCACTCAGAAAATAGGTAGCTTTCTTTCTGAGGACATTCCAATGTTCAATCCTTTGAAACTTCTCCTCACCATAAACCACTCTGATTCCCTTCCATTCCCTTAAAACATACCTGGCAGTGACATAATGTAAATCTAGCTGCAGGGCCTCTGTTACATCTTCTCAGTTGCCACGGTAGTCCCAAGTCCATAGGAAATATCGTTTCCACGGCTCCTTCTGGAGCTCCACAGACATCAGGAGCCCGAGGAACTATAATAAAAAAATTCCTTCCAGTAGCTATTTTATTATTATTATTTTTGTTTCGACTACGGCAGACCAACATGGCTACCTACCTGTATCCAGAGGAACTACATTAGCCATGAAACCTTGCGCTCGGGATAATGTCATTGCAGAGCAAAGCATGTTGTTGTTGTTGTATGTATTTGTTTATATGATGATGATGATGATGATGGTTTTATTATTTATATCCCACCTATCTGGCTGGGTTTCCCCAGCCTGTTTCCCTGACAGGGATTCATGGTGGTCCCTCTATGAGAAATTCCCATGGTTGCAACTACAACCTGCCACTAGTAACTTCCACCCGACAAATTGTTAAGAATGTTTAGCCCTCATTTCCTGAACAGATGCAGACATAGAATCATAGAGTTGGAAGGGACCACGAGAGTCATCTAGTCCAACCCCCAGTGATGCAGGAATCTTTGGCCCAACGTGGGGCTCGAACCCATGGCCTTGAGATTAAAAGTATCATGCTCTACCGACTGAGCTATTTGCCACTGCTGTTTTTCTGTATGAAATGGGAGGCCTGCTTTTGCAACTCAAAATACAGTGGTACCTCGGGTTAAGAACTTAATTCGTTCTGGAGGTCCGTTCTTAACCTGAAACTGTTCTTAACCTGAGGTACCACTTTAGCTAATGGGGCCTCCCACTGCTGCAGCACGATTTCTGTTCTCATCCTGAAGCAAAGTTCTTAACCTGAGGTACTATTTCTGGGTTAGCGGAGTCTGTAACCTGAAGCCCCTGTAACCTGAGGTACCACTGTAAAAAGGTAAAGGTAAAGGGACCCCTGACCATTAGGTCCAGTAGTGGCCGACTCTGGGGTTGTGGCGCTCATCTGGCTTTATTGGCCGAGGGAGCCGGCGTACAGCTTCCAGGTCATGTGGCCAGCATGACTAAGCCGCTTCTGGCGAACCAGAGCAGCGCACGGAAACGCCGTTTACCTTCCTGCCAGAGCAGTACCTATTTATCTACTTGCACTTTGGCGTGCTTTCGAACTGCTAGGTTGGCAGGAGCAGGGACCGAGCAACAGGAGCTCACCCCATCACGGGGATTTGAACCGCTGACCTTCTGATCAGCAAGTCCTAGGCTCTGTGGTTTAACCCACAGCGCCACCTGCGTCCCTAGCGCCACCCGCAAAATAGGCTCACAAGTGCCTACCCTGTTTACAGAGCTTATTATGGAAGCCTTATTTTCCTGCCTCCATTGCTGTGGGTTTTAGTGCCGGCCCCCAGGTCCCTAGTATTGCACTGGCATTGGCCCTGAATTTGTTCAGCGAAGCAAAACAGAGGATGTTCTACATTTCTGCAGCAGTGTAATAAGGGACGTAGGCCCTGTGCTTGTTTTCCGCTGTTTACAAAATGGGGCCAGTAACCTTTTTTCTTCCTCGCGGGGGGTGTTTTAGAGAATTAATGAGGTAATGTTGCTGAGGCACTCTGGAGACGCAAAGCACTATGTAGGATCAGCAGTAATTATAAACAGGGCCGCGTTATCCTTTCGGCATCCTGGTTCCCATGACTGTCTGCTCGCTCACACAAAGGTTGTCACTTTAGCAAGATGGCTGCCTCGCTCGTCAGAGATGCTCAGAGATGCCAATTCTAATTAGAGCCGTTAGTTTGAAACGCAAGTTGCTGTTTTCGATGAGCAGCCGATAAGCTTTACAATGTGTCGACGTCCAAATGGCTTGAACATGAACGAAAATAGGGCAGACTTCTCGGTCTTGCAGAATCTCCAGTCCTCTCCCTCTGCAGTAGTTGGCTACATTTGAAACAGAAACCACTCTCAAACAGAGACATTTTAACGTTTATAATAAAATTTGAGCAGTGGGTACCAAGTGGCATCCTCCTCCTCCAATGTTTATTTGTTTGTTTCTCTTTTTTTGGCTTGTCTGGAAGGCCTTTTAAGCTAGTTGATAATGTGCAATTTTCGTTTCTCCTTCCTTTAAAAAAATAAATAAATCGGGAACATTTAAACCTAAAAGTGTGAAAACAATCTGGAATGTTAGTCGTCACATCCTAGCCTGAATAGGTGCAGTAATCTCTGGGAGCTTTCTCTGGGAGGTTGTTTTAAGTCCTGAAATTATGCAGCTTGGAAATGTACCATCTGTGTCAGGAAAAGGATTAGAAAGGAGGGGGGGAGCGATGGGTTTGAAGTGTCCCATGTGCTGAGTTGAATCTCACATTTCTAGCTTTTTTGGCTAGCCAGGAATTGGTTTTAAAAAAGAAGCCTCTCCCATAAACAGATGCAGCCTGGTAAACTTGCACTTGGCTGGCTGCATGCTCGCAGCGGAGGCCTTGTATTATCCCTGTGCATCCCAGTTGCCGAGAACACGGCTCTTCTTCCCTTGGCAAAGATGATTCTTTTGTTTTGCCTTTGTGGCTGTTTATTCCCTTACCAGCAGCTCTTTCCAGCTCTCTCTTAACATACACCTGTCCCCTATTCTGCTGGAGAGGATTTGGCAGAATGCAACCCTTTTTTCTCACGTAGTTTGGATCTGTAATAAAGATGTCTGTTTTGGCAGCTCGTGGAGCTTCTCTGACAAATACTGTTACTAATTATTACTGTTTTTATGGAGTTTATTTATAGTTTCCGTTCAGTGTTTTGAAACAGGGCTAGGCAGACTTCAGCCTGGTTGAATCTCCTCTCTGTGTGTGTTGTGGTTTTTTTGCTAGAACCCCAATAATTGGTACTAGTAGCTGGAGTCAGGTGCAAGAGTCAATTAGAATTGAAGAATAGACTGCCTCTGGTGTATTATGAGCTTAGGAATTTGTTTTCAATACCAGAAGTCAACTGAGCCTACAGTTCCTTCTCACGAAAGTCTGCTTTCTTTATTTCAACAGCCTAATTTGTTTTGTTTTCTTGAACAGTTGGTGCCAAAATCACCTAGAGACCAACCTTCTCTCTCTCTCTCTCTCCCCCCACCCCCATTTTAAAGCTATTTACACAAATTATCTAGGACCCCATAAATGTTCTGGAGGAACTTGAGAGCTGAATAAGGTATTCCCATATTGTTGATGAGGGATGTAGGCTGAGAGAGTGCTTGCTTAAGACTCTCTGGTGAGTTTGTAGCTCTGGACAATTTCCAGCTCATTTTCTTGGCCATTACGCAAGAGTCCGAACATAATCATCTTGCCTTGGGATTGGCAACCCCTTAACTGGAAAAGGAAAGAAACTCTGAACTATTTATATCCCACCTTTCTTCCAAGGAGCCCGAGGTGGCGTACCTGGTACTCCGCCTCTCCACATCATCTTCACAACGGTCCTGTGAGGTAGGTTAGCTCGAGAAACTGACTGGCCTGAGATCACCCAACAAGTTTCATGACTTGAGTTGGGATTCACCCACTGGTGAACACTTGGTGCTAAACCACACTGAGTCTCTTGAGTGTAAGTCAAGAGGAATTGACTATTGATGGCCCGCAAACTGGCCCACAGTATTTCTGGAGGAACTTGTGGTGATGTTTCCTACCTGGCAGATGACCCACTTGTGGGGGGAGGCTTCTGAGATATGACCCTGCACTTCCAGTCTTCTGTAGAGGGCATGCCATCCCTCCTTGCCCTTTCTTGGCCCCTTGGTTCCTGGGACAAACCTCTCAACTTCTGGTAGAAGTGTTTTGTTGGTTCTCGTTCTACTGTTGGGAACAATCCTCCATATTGGAAATCACTGACTATCATTGTCCTGTTCATAAAGTATATCTGAGTAGTAATGTGCTTGTTCCTGCATAAAACCCCTACAGGAGTAGTAATTAACGCTTCTAGTTTTTGTTGTTATGAGAACAGTTACACAGATCTGTGGGCAAGGGGATACAATGAGAAACAGCTAAATCTGCTGGAATTCGTTGTGATGTTGAAGGGGCAGTTGAAGTTTGCAACACAGAGTTGAGTGGTTGTGAAAACACCTTGGCTAGGCAGACACTGGTGGTGTAAGTGAGTCTTTAATGATATCTCTGGCAGAATGACTGGTAGTCCATTCATGTGCCTCTCTTTATTTTTATTTTTGGATGCACTTACCGCTTCGACTTGCATCTGAAAGAGCAATAGGTGTTTTATGACATCATGGGTTTCCACAGAGACCGAAAGAGAGGGGTGATTTCCTACACTGCCTATCTCAGAATAGCTTTGGGTTTTTCTCTTTTATAAGGGAATCTCTCTTACACAATCCCACATGCCTAGATTGATGTAGCCAGCCACACTTTGTGAACTCCTTGCCTCTTTCTGGAAGAGCTCACTGTAGGATGAATTAAGAAAAGAGGGACTGGAGCAATAAGGCTGCTGTAAGACACGAGTGTGGATATGTTATCCTTTGTGGATATTTTTACACTCACATCTTTTGTTCTGGCATACACCACGTCACAGACACCTGCATCTTGTTGTTGCAGTTCTATGCACCATCCTGTACATTTACATGCTGGAGCAGCAAGCACTGGGGTTGTGCCACATGGCTTCAAAGGAGCCGACAGAACGGTTAATGCCTATAAAGAAAGAGGCACTGAAGAGGTGGAGGCCATAGTTGCTACATTGTCATGACCCCAGTACCAGCAATGACCTGGACACAGAGTTAGAGGCTGCAGGGGCACCAGAATAGGAGCTGGGTCTGGGCTTAGATCTGACTGCAGAAGATAGGAAGACCACTGCACTTGAGAGAGAACTCTCAGACTACCAGGCCTATGGAACCAAAAGTCTGGACCTTCATGGACACCTTCTTCTGAGTCTGAAGAACCAGATGCCTCCCACCACACACCACCAGTCTTGGGAGTACTAGGACTTCACCAGGAGGAAGGAAGCAGGAGCACCCAACATCTTTAGACCTGAAGGTTGGCCCTTTAAGGCTCTGAAGTTCTCTGAAGGGGGTTAAACCTAGAGGAGGTATTCTGGAGCCAGGACCCCAAAAGGCCTCAGTGTGCTCCCAACTTTTGTTGGAGCACCTTGCTTGCTTGGAGCTGTCCATGGTCTAGCCTTGCCTCTTGTCATGCTGTTTTCCTCGTGGGTCCAGACATTGGACCAGAACACAGCACACACTATTTGAATGCAGAAGGTCCCCAGGCCTATCTTTGGCATCTCCCTTCAGAAAAAAAGAGGGGGAAAGCCCAAAGGTCTCAGCAGGCCTGGAAAAGATACCTGCCAGAGCCCTTGGAGAGTGGCTTCCAGTCAGAGTAGCCTGCTATTAAGCTAGATGGGGTGGTCAGAATTTAAGGTAGACAATGATCTACTGGTAGGTTATTGGCCAATTTCTAGTAGACCTTCCTGGTGGTGTTGGTTGCGGGGATCCTTCCAAGAATATTGGACCTTGGGTGGATTCTGATAGGCATATCTCTCTTCTGCTTTCTGGGTGTTTATGAAAGTTGGCTGTTTCTGGGTCAAAGATCTGAAACTCGCAGAATGTGTTTCACTGTGATTGCTTATCTACCCAGAGCTCTGTCGCAGCTTTCAAGTCAATGAATGCATCTCTGATTCTTAGTAATCAAGCAACAGGATCACCAGTTTTGGCAGTAGCCTGGCATTTGGGAGGAACAGCTACTACTAATAGCTGGTTAAGGGGGATCAGATCACTTTCCTATCTAATCCAGATAGCTTTATCTGAGGGCATTGACTCTGTTAATTATAACGAAACATGCCCAACGGAAGTTGCTGCTAAGCATCTTAAACTGTCAGATGAGTACTTGGGCTTCTGTTGAAATCCCATTTTAGCCTACTGCTGCAAATGCCAGCCCCTTCAAACCAGGCAGTGTTGGTGAAACATACAGAGGCCCTTACCCTGTTAAGACACCATGTTGAACTTAACTACTAAAGAAATGTACTGTATGGGGAGGCATTTTGTTGTTGCCTGTGGGTAACATGCCAATCCATCTTGCAAACGATGCCCCCATTTTATTGGGTTGTCATTTCCATAAAGAGGTTCCACCAGAAGAATTCCCAGTAAAAACTCCTTGCAGGAAAGAGGGTGAGGGGAATCTTCTTAACACAGCAGTTCCAAGGGGTTATATGGATATGGTTATATGGATGATATTGCTAAAGAGCATCTCTACAAGGTGTCCACCTCTACAAAATACTACCTACCAGTAGATGCTTCTGCATGTCTCTTCTAGATGTATCTCCCACTTCTAGATGCTTGGAGCAGACGAAGGAGACCTGTTGGTATTATGAGCATCCAAAAATCATCTTCGTGGCTACTGCAGCGCTGAGCTAGAGAAACCTTGCTTTGATCCAGCAAGTCAATTCATTACATAGATTTAATCCATTTTGATGGAGTCCTAAGTAAGGAAGGTGACACATCCCTCCTGTGAAAAGCAAAGGTAGTCCCTGTTGGCTTGTGAGTGAAATCTCAAAATCCACACTTATTGGGCCTATCAGAAGGTTGCAGAATTCGTGTGTAAGCTCAGGTTATCCAAAGCTGTTCATCAGCAAAGATGATAAACAAGACAAAAGGGGTGAGAGGAGGGAGAAAAGATGGGAAGCATTCTTTTGGAATATCATTTCTGTTGTAATGAGATGGCAGAAACATATGTGAATTGACTGCACCAGGTGCCATTGTGCCATCTTAGTTTTGCTCCAGGTCTTTTAAAAATCTGTCAGAGGACTTAATTTCCTTATTGTTTTCATGGGCACAGAACTTTTAAAGTTCCAGTTGCGCTAGAAAGTCATGCTGTCTCCTTCTCTGTAAAGTTCTGTGCCCTTATGCCAAATGGCAGGCTGAGATCCCTTGAAAATCCCAGAGAGAAGCCTGAACAGTTCATTATTACAGACATCTTTTCTCTCTCTCTTTTGGAGCAATGTATGTTGTTGTTTATACCGAAGCAAGCTGAAAAGCAAGGCTGCTCGCTTGTTTGTGGTTTTGGCTTTTGCATACTAGCTCCAAGCGGAATTGCAATATCCTGTCCTGTTTGTGGGATCAAAGAGCATGGCTCTTATTCCAGATTAAATTGCGTCAGAATAAACGCTGCTCTTCGGTTGTATTTTCGCCAGCCCTCGACACAACCAGAATTGCTGTTTTATTTTCAAGGGCTTAAACTGGATAGGTTAACCCAAACACACTAACTTTGTATCCCTGCAGATTGAGTAAATTTACTTTTTAATGGGGTTTTTTACCACTTTGGCTTTACCCGAAATTTAACCTATACTGCCCACTCTCCTAGTCATTAATTTTGGCATTGCATTAGAATTGCTTCTCAGCCCTTTAAATACTAAAATCCATTCTTTTTGTGTGGTTGGGCAAACCTGTCCATCTGTCTTCAGGGGTTACTAATCCACATTAAGGATACATACTTGAGATGGCTTAATGGAGATTATTTTCCCTTTTAGTTACGCCTTTGTACTTGCAACTCTGTTCTTAGAAATGAAGAGAGGGAGCAGCAGAGAAATGTAGCGCTACAGAAAATGTCGTACAAAGGTCTTCTTATCCTCCTTCACCATCCACAATAACATTAGCTATGACCTCGAGGAGCTTTACTCGCTTTTATAAAAAGAGAGAAATGTTCTATGAGGCGTTCCTTCTGTGCCATTTTAATCCTCGGCTAATTAATCGGCATAATCGTGCCCGAGGGATGCAGGGTAGTATGCCATCTCCGAATTAACGCTCCTAAATATCTGGTTGTGTGAGAAGTCATAACAGGGAATGGGGAGGAGCACGGGAACTCTTAAAAACTGATTTGAATAGTGACAAGGGACCCAAAAACAGAGATCCTTATCATTGTTGCCAACGGCGCAGGGGATGTAGGGCGGGCGAAGCCAACTAAACAGTGGTAGGTGCCAGACAGACATCGAATCCTCCTTTCTCTTAGCCTCGCGGGGGAATTCAGAAGGGGAAATAAATGGAACTTGTGTATGCCAAAGCTGTGAGATTATTTCACTTTGGGCGGGTGTGTCTATTCCAGCTGAGGTTTTGCAGCCAGCCTGCATCTGACCGATGCGAAATCTTGAAGCTAAAATCCCTAGCTGGAAAACATTGGTCACCTGAGAGCACAGAAGGCAAATGGTTCTGTTGGATTTTGCAATAATAGATCATTTGCCCTGCCAACTGTTTCTGGATGGTTTTTGGAAGGGGTTTTCGCAGCTGCACTTTGAAGATCCTTGGGTCCCTGAAAGACAGCAACCTGATGCTATCGAGTTTTTGATAAATTTGATATCTTGTGAATAATATGCACACAGAGTTTGCCAATGCAAGTTTCCACATGTAAATGCAGAGTCGAACAAGGTGTGAAAATATTCCACCACAAATTCCTCTCAGTTCTTCTCTTTTTTTTGGGGGGGGGAGTACTGGGTTTTCTTGGGGTGGGGAGCAGGAATTGTGTGTCAGGTACAGTTTGGGAAGCCTGGGCACATGTCAAGTCACTCTGCCCCAATTTTCTGTCTGTAAAATGGGGATGTCATGCTGTCACAGTGCAGTTGCAAGACTGGAAAACATTTTGGCAATTAGAGCTGCTATTTGAGTGGTAATTAACACCACCATCTAGCTAGTCACACCAAAGGGCATTAGCATATTCATAGTCCTCATTAGGTGACGGGCTCAGAATAAATAGGCTTTCTAGATATCTTTTTTCACGAAGCAAAGGAAGATAAAACACTTGAAATAAGTGACACTAGCTCTGTTGAATACAAATGCACAAAGTGCTTAAGACTAACCTTGTACATTTGTATGTCAGATCTGTTTCCCTGTCTGTATCTAGTCTGAAAGTCTAGGTTTTGTAATTTTAGAGAAGAACTATCATTTTACTTCTCTGGAGTGTGATGGCAATACATTTACAGCATCACACCTCTTTACTCCATAGTGAGTAGCTCAGGAAAACTACCATCCCTGAGATGGTATCCCACCCACTTCTTGTGAATGAAAAATAAGAAAATAAAAGTAAAACCCTCCCGTACCCCCATAAGTGTGTTTTGATAGTGCAGGGATATCTACTCTGATTGTGGGTTTGTCCTCTTTCATTTATATTCATTTATTCTTCTTGTCACTGAGATGCGGGTGGCGCTGTGGGTTAAACCACAGAGCCTAGGAGTTGCCGATCAGAAGGTTGGTGGTTTGAATCCCTGTGACGGGGTGAGCTCCCGTTGCTCGGTCCTTGCTCCTGCCCACCTAGCAGTTCGAAAGCACGCCAAAGTGCAAGTAGATAAATAGGTACCACTCAGGCAGGAAGGTAAACGGTGTTTCCATGTGCTGCTCTGGTTCTCCAGAAGCAGCTTAGTCATGCTGGCCACATGACCCAGAAGCTGTACGCCGGCTCCCTTGGCCAATAAAGCGAGATGAGCGCCGCAACCCCAGAGTCGGTCACGACTGGACCTAATGGTCAGAGGTCCCTTTACCTTTACCTTTATTCTTCTTGTCATTCTTCCTGCAGTTAGGAGCCCAGGGCAGTTAGCAACACCCTTGCAAATAAAATCAACATGAAACAAAAGCACCTTAAAACCCACATTGCAGTAGAATGCAGCATTGCAGGCAGCGATCACTGGGCTCCACTCTGGATATGAACCAACCAAACAAGCAGTAGTCACCTGAACACAGTTTGTGGGGCAAGGTGATCTCCACCAGAAGGAACTTTCACAGCCAGGGTGCTGCCACCGAGAAGGCCCTGCTTTGCATCACTGCCCTATGGAACATGTTCTTCTGGGGAACCAGGAGAAGCTCCTTCCCCACTGAGATCAAGATGTGGGGGAAGACATCCTTCTAAGTGTTTGGGTTCCATCCTGCTCAGTGGTGCACTCATGCTAACACTTCAGATTTGGTCCCAGTAGCTTATGGGCAGTCACTGCAACTCATGATTCCTAAATATATATATGCAGCCGGTGGCATGAAAGCCATTTTTTTCATAGATTGATCCCATGACCATCTAGGCCAGAGGATGTTTTAGGCTGTCTCTGCCAACACCTGGGGCTGAGAAATGGCCCCTCCTCCACCCTCTGGCATTTTAAAGGACTCAGCCAGAAGCTCTCTCTTTTCCCCTCAGTTAGTAATGAATTATGAATTGTTTCGATGCCTTTAAAAAAAGAGAGTTTATGCCTCTTTTAAAAAACCATTCTGAAAGGTCTTTTGTAGGGAGAGACTACAATCAACAGATTGGATGTGTTTATATTATTACTCGATGTTATCTCGTGAACCGCTTTGAGCATAGTGCCCACAGGAAAGCGGTGGCGCTCCCTCTGACAGTGGACTCAGATGTTGGTGCCAACAAGATGGTAGCCAAATTGGAGCCAATGTGAAGCGACTGGGAAGTATCAGCATGCTCAAGAAATCTTGGAGGTTTACAGAAGCACAGAAAAAACCACACCCAAAGAGGCAAAAACAAAACTTTTTTTTTTAAAAAAAAACAGTCTAATGAACCTGATCCTCCCTTAGAATGTAGAGTGTCAATTGGAGACGAAAAATGGAGCTTGATATGCAGAACAGAAGAGAAAGAAAGGATCTTGTTGGAGGTCATGGTCAGCAAGAATACCCTTAATGCCTTTCAAGGGAGGGAGGATATACTGTAGTGGTTTTTTTGTTGCAAGTCATATTTGTGCAAAATACAGTGGCTGTGTTTCTGAAAGTACGCATGAACATTGCAACCACAGGTAAAAAAGATAAAGGACCCCTGGATTGTTAAATCCAGTCAAAGGTGACTATGGGGTTGCGGCGCTCATCTTGCTTTACAGGCCAAGGGAGCCGGCGTTTGTCCACAGACAGCTTTCCGGGTCATGTAGCCAGCATGACTAAACTGCTTCTGGCGCAGTGGGATACTGTGACGGAAACCATAGCGCACGGTGATGCCGTTAACCTCCCCGTCGCAGCGGGACCTATTTATCCACTTGCGCTGGTGTGCTAGGTTGGCAGGATCTGGGACAGAGCAACGGGAGCTCACCCTGTCGCGGGGATTCGAACCGCCGACCTTCTGATTGGCAAGGCGAAGAGACTCAGTGATTTAGACCACAACACTGCATGAAGGGAGTATGTCAGTTGAACGGGAAAGACCCATGTGGCCAACATGGTTGTGATATTGTATCATACTCTCCAAGGGCTATGAGGTCAGGTGGCGGGGGCAGTGGGGCACCCATAGAAGGTGGGAGCTCCACTTGGGCTTCCACCAAATGAGGCGGCTTTCTCACCTTGCTTCATGGGCAGACCAGCCCTGAGGAAGGAGCTCTTAAATTATTATTATTATTGTTCAGGGAAGTTTTAATATGCCTAGAGTGGCTGGGGAAACCCAGCCAGATGGGTGGGGTACGAATAAATTATTATTATTATTAATAATAATATTATTAATTTATTATGCCATGAGCTGTAGGGCAGAGACCTCTCTCTCTCTCTCTCTCTCTCTCTCTCAACTTCTCACCCCATCTAGGTTGGAAAGTAGACATTCTCTGAGTCAGCTTTAATCAAGTTTCTTTTAAAAGACCCCAAAAAAACCGTGGCTGTTCCCATGAAGTTGTACCTAGCAGCTCATATTTTTGGCATTTCCTCTTCATGTTCTTTTTTTAAGAGTGGGGAGGGATCTGAGCCTGGCTTTTGTTATGGGAAGAGATGCAGAGTGACTCTTCGAAACTTTAGTCGGATTATGACACAGACTTCCTGCTTGCTGAGTAATCAGTCTGTACGTTGGCTTGTGGTAGATTTTGTCTTTGGGCAAGAGAGAGAGAGAGGGAGAGGAGGGGAGTGGCTGGCCCTGGTGTGGAAGGAGAGGGAGCAAGAGAAGGGAAACTGTTCGTTTGGATTAGGGCAAGATGGCTGGGAAGTGCTGCAAAGTACGTTGGATCTTCAGGAATTACTGGGGTCGGGAGGGGGGAGAGTTGTTTATAATAATGGGGGAAATTGTTTGACAAGAGCCTACTTTGTGTTGTAGGTTATGGCGTCTGGCTGCGTGCCATTTCATCCGCTTTGCTGCGATTGTGTGCCTTGAAAAACGAGGAGGGGGGGGGCGCTGTGGGGAAACAAGTCAGTCGAACTTAATAAATCATGGAGATTCACTCGGATCCCGTTTGACTTGACTCTGTGCCAGCTATACATATGCTTATACATCATGCATCTGGGCTCGGAGCTGACGTTTTAATGGTTTGATTAGTTTAGGAAGAATACTTCCATTGTGCGTGCCTGCAATTATATTAAGTACTGCGTGAAGTTGTTACATTATGATGAGCTTACATTACCTTTCTCTGTGTATATACTGCCGTCTATGTCTGTATCCAAGATCCGAGCAGTAATCTGACCCAATCCTCTTAAAGAAGGAGCTGCTAAATTAATAAAGCTGTTAATCACATAGCAGGGAAAGGGGAGGGGGAAAGAAGCGTATGCGTGTGAAAATGCCAAAATGTCTCAAAAACACACACACACACCAAGCCCTCTTGGAGCAATGGGAATTCTTTTTAAAATGTTCAGTTGTCAAAAGTTACACATTCGTCTGCAGAGTTATCTTCCCTAATGCAAAAGCCTGGTTCGCACAAACATACCAGGCTTCATAAATCACAGACCATGGTTTATGAAGTAAAAAAACGAGTGCTGCTTCCATAACCCCTTCTCTGCCCCCATCCCTCTCTGTTACACACCAGCTTTGGCACACCTGAGTTGGATAATAACCAGGAAAACAAACCAGATTGTGGCCCTGAAGCTTATTTCTAGCTTCATAAACCGTGGTCTAGCTCTGCTAAGATCTCACAGCCTGTTTTCTATGCAATACCAAACCACAGTTTAGTGTTACGGGAATTGACTGCAGGCTCTCTCACCTTCTCTCATCCCCTCTGGAGAAGATTGAAAGCTTTCGGTTTCACTTTTGTACTATCCAGAGTTCCTTATTACATTGGAACTTGGGGGTGCTCCGGCTAGTTTAAACTGAAGATGGGGAACCTGTGGCTCTCCAGTTGTCAGGAGCAGGGGAAGCTTCTTGCACCGATTCAGACCATTGGTCCATTGAGCTCAGAATTATCGACACCCACTGGCGTCTCTCCCAGCCCTGCATGGATGTGCAGAGGGTTGGACCTGGGATCTTTTGCATGCAAAGCACCAGAGAAGGAGAGGAGAAGCGGGAGAAAGTGTGAGCCGAAGGCTCATCCCTGCAGCACTAAACCATGGTTAGCTTTTAAAGTGATGGTGCAATGGCTGCAACCCAGATAAATGACTTTAACGCTGCACACATTCAGGGCATAGATGGCCAACCAGTGATGGACATGGAATGAAAAGTATTAGCAGCAAGAGCCTAGGGCCCTTTGAGGTACTGTATCAGTGGCTCTATAGTAGACAGGCATCCCTGGGCTTTAGGCAGCAGGCAATGCAGTATCTTTAATCTTCCGTTGTGCTGGATGCTTAATCTCTATTGCATTTACTCTATCTCATTTGCACATACTTGCCTGCCAATGTACAGATAGGGGATTTGCTCAAATATTAATCAACCCTGCTTGATGCTAGAGATTTCTGCAACTGGCAACTTGCCCTGCGTGCCTCCAGAATTTGCCCCCCACACAAAAAAGGAAGAAAGAAAGAAAGAAAGAAAGAAAGAAAGAAAGAGAAATTGGTCTGTCGAAAATCCTTTCATTTGTTCATGCCCCTCCACCCATTACTTTATGGCACTAGATTGTGGATCCTTTCATTTTAGGCAGGAGAGTCTTACGTTGCATTTGGAAGGAAGTGAAAACGTAGCCATGGTTATATAGCATTGAGATATATCTGATTTTGCTAGGTGCTAATTGAATTTATAAAATCAAGTTTGTATTAGATTTGTCAAAAGCTGTTAAGGTTGCCTTGGAAATAAGTGATCTTTTCCTCGTCCTCTCTTCCCCTGACCTCCCTGCAACACACACTGTATTCCTCATGTGATTTTTGAGTACTAAATGAATCACCTCCCATCCCAAGTATTTGGGGTGAAAGGTGCTGATTTACAAACTCACCACGGGTGGAAACAAACAATTTGCTTTGCTTTCGCCAGAGAGCTGAATGGAAAGCCAAGTGCATACTTAAGCCCTCTCATTGATTGTCATTCAGTGCAGAGAAGATAAAGCCTGTTTCACACAGCTGTTTTGACGTAGATAAATTATGTCACCACAATACACTGATGGGAGTTGTATTCCGAAGCATAGAGAAGGCACTAGGTTGGGGAGGCCTGGCATAATGTTCTGTGTCCCACCTTCCAGTAAGTAAAGGTAAAGGGACCCCTGACCATTAGGTCTAGTCGCGGACAAGTCTAGGGTTTCGGCGCTCATCTCGCTTTATTGGCCAAGGGAGCTGGCATACAGCTTCTGGGTCATGTGGCCAGCATGACGAAGCCACTTCTGGCGAACCAGAGCAGCTCATGGAAACACTGTTTACCCTCCCGCTGGAGTGGTACCTATTTATCTACTTGCACTTTGACGTGCTTTCGAACTGCTAGGTTGGCAGGAGCAGGGACCGAGCAACGGGAGCTCACCCCGCCGTGGGGATTCAAACCACCAACCTTCTGATCGGTAAGCCCTAGGCTCTGTGGTTTAAGCCACAGCGCCACCTGCGCCCCTTCCAGTAAGTAGACCACTGGAAATCATTCCCTTTTTACAGACTGGAAACTTTGGTTGTGAAGTTGTGATTCGCTCAAGGCTATCCAGTGAGCTCCAGGAGAACTTTCATTTCTTTGCATTGTAAGTGGTGGTGAAACCACCTGAAGCACAGTTAGCACACGATATTCTCGCTTCCGCGTTTCTTTTCTTTTCTTCCTTTTTAATAATAACAATGAATGAAAAGCTAATGTGCAGTATTCACTGAACTATGGAAATCAGCTGCCCAAACAGGAAGCACCTATTTTTAATGCTCCAAGGGACATGGCTATTTCTGAGCCGTGAAATGTTGCCCATCTCAATGCAGTCTGCGGAATGACTCTTTCTGTCCATATCACCTTCACCTTTCTCAGCTTTTCGACTTGACTGCTTTTATTTATTCCATTTCATAAAAAGATCGCACACACAAAATCACCACCGTACTTGAAATCATAACAAAAGCTTAAATGCTAAAACAGATTAAAATTAGTTCATCGTTCTAAGCAACTGGGTAGAAGTTTCTATATACCTATATGCCTCTTCTATATACCAGAAGGGAGGAACCGTTTCTGGCCAACCCTCCGGAGACAGGCCACTTTGACAGCTGAGTGGGACCACCCACCCACCAGTCACCTGGCACCATGAGTTGAAGGTGCTTCAACTTCAAGCAGTGCTTACAAAGGAAGAATCTCTGACATGTGCTCCTGGTTGTTCCATTGCAGCTGGGCTTTGAGCTTTCCCTTGACAGTGCAAGGAAAGGTGGATGCGGTTTGTCCGAACAGGTCCAAATGGAAGAAGCAGGCCAGAGATTCTCCTCCAGTGCACTGCTATGCTCCACCTGTAATGGCTAAAGACACTAAATCAGGGTTTCCCATACTTGAGTCTCCAGCTGGTTTTTTGGACTACAACTCCCATCATCCCTAGCTAGCTGGACCAGTAGTCAGCGATGATGGGAACTGTAGTCTAAAAAACAGATGGAGACCCAAGTTTGTGAAGAAGCCCTGCTCTAAATTCCCATGCTGCCTTCCCTTGCTCATTATTTTACCCCTCTTGATGACAGGTTTGATTTCCGCTATTGTTGCAGCAATTGAAAATTAATGAAAACGTGTAGCCTGTATTTCCTTTCCAGGCTGCAATATAGTTGCAGTAGAAACTCTGCCACGATCATTCTGCTGGTTTTTGTTTTTGTTTAACTTAATTATTTCCCCCCCTGATTGAACACCGTGGCGCTTCATTATCCGAAACATTGGGAAAGGCCTGTCAAGAGGACGAGAATGCTCTGATCACATGGATTTCCAATCCTGTCTAACTGGAAATCAGATGTTGAGATACTGTCTTGATAGCAGACACTTCAGTGATATAGCCTGCTTTTGAAATGCAGATATCCAGCTTCCCTCTCCCTCCTGGGAGACCTGTCAAGAGGATGAAGAGCAAGGCCATTTTCCAGATCTCTGGGTTGTTTATGTGCAACCACCTTAAATTAATAACAACGCTGCCTCTTCCCCTCTTGCGATGATTGCCGCTGGATCCGTCCCCCCTCCCTGTTCTTTCCCATCACACACCCCTTTGCAATTTATGTACCATCTGAAGTGGACTTATAACGCTGAATTGGTGGCACTTGGTGGCACTTACGGGTCAGGCAAATATAATTTAATAATCTTTGGGGAGAAACATCCAAAGACATTTTGTCCATCAGTAAGCGAGAGTACCGGTGCAGTTTTACAATGAATGGTGTCCTAAAGTGGATACAAATAAAAAAATTCAGTAGCACACACACACACACAAACAAACAAACTAACTAACTAACTAAAGAGGGTATTGAGCCACATAGAAATGGAATAATCTCACTCTTCCTTAAAATCCTGCAACGGCGATCCAGTAACCTTGCTTTGTGATGTTGTTAGAAGTATTATTTTTCTTTAATTCCTGTTTAAAAACTGGTTGCCTTGTCTGGTTGTGGCTAAACGTCTACTGGTGGGAAACTAACTCTCTCTCTCCCCCCCCCACATCATTAGGAGTTTTATGCATAACACTAATTAGAATGTTAGGTGTGCAATTTGTTAGTGGGAGATTGCGTGCATTTGAGCGAATAATGTTAGCTTGGCTGTTTTTAGGTTGAACTGTAGCCTCTGTGTCTTAGAAAAAAGAAGAAGCAAATATTCTGAACTGCTATGTTGTGAGATGGATGAGCCATGCAGGGTAATGTGCAAAACTGAAGCCTCCCCTATCCTTCCGGCGAGTTTGGTACATCCATTAACAAAGAGACCTTGCTACAATGCAGTTGTTTTCAATCACCTTGAGTCTGCGGCCAGTTCAGAAAAAAAGCAAAATCTGGAATGGAATGTCTTTTAAAAGCTCTGTAATTCCTTGTGTTGGTCACCATGAGCCTTGATGTTTTACCACCACCACCACCACCACCCAAAACTG